TGTCAGTTTTTGTTGGTGCTAAGCCATCACATTCGGATGACCCTCTGGATGCTGCCTTACAAGCAGGAAGCAGAACTGAAGTCCCACTTCTCATTTAGTAGGTAAGCTAAAAACTTGTGAGTCCGATGACCCGGAGAAGTACAGCATGCTGTCATACACCCGCCTAGTCATGCATTATCTTGGCAGTACAAAGCAGCAGTTTCCCCCTCTCTTAATTTGGTTTGACCTTCAAGTATCAGTATGAGCCTTTTCTTTGCCCTATGTGTAACCAACCACAAGAATGTGGGAGACATAATCTATAAAGCCTACGCGTCCAGCTCCATATCTTCCTCTGATGTTTTAATCATGGTAAACATAGCATTGGCAACATAGCTTTGACAAGACAATGTATACCCTGATGTTCTTTTGACGAATGCTCATCCTATTACTGTTTATACTCTTGTTAGTGAGTTTTTCTCTGTGATGAAGTCATTAGGATAGCACTGTAGCACTGTGATTTGCTCGAGCGGGCACCAGTAACATTTCCGTTGTGAGACTTGTTGTTACTGTTTTTTTTGCATCTTGAATACAGCACAGGGAGCTTGCCAGGCTTTGCCGTGCAGGTGCGATACTCTCGATAGCTTGCTGGGCTCTCTGTGAGGGGCAGAGAAATTGAACCTGGGTCCCTGGGTCGACCATGTGCAAGGCAAACGCCCTACCTACTGTGCTATCGCTCCAGCCCAAAGTCATTAGGATGTAAGTGATAAAAAATAGAATAAAAGGAGGCCTCTGGCAGTTGGTCTTTGCCTCGAGTCAGATTAAGCCTTGGCCCTCCATGCTCTTTACATTTCTCTTGCGTGTCTTGTCTCCGTGCTTCTGACCGATTGATCGATCACTTCATGCAACAAGTTTTCCTCTCCGTTACCAAGCTAAATATCACTTGATAAACCAAGAACTGCCCTAAGTTCACTTCATAGCTAATCCTTCTCTCTCTTTTTTAAAAATATAGGAGTACTGCTATTTATTCAGCCATTGATTAAGCTGATTGAATTGGGCATGAACTCCACCTAATCCTTCTCACTCTCTCTCCTCTCTCTCTCTCTCTCTGTCCTCTTAGAGAACTTAATAAAGTATTTCATAGCATTAATAAAGCATTTAATAGCATTTTTAATGTCCTCAAAGGTTTACTAACCACAGTTTAAGAATTCTGGGTAGAATAAGTAGAATGCTTAGAGCTGAAGACAAAGTATAGGAGGTAAAGAAATTGTCTTGTATCCAGGCCCTCTGGCCAATCCTGGTTTAAATTTCCAGCACCACACTGAGTCTCCTGAGCACTGCCAGAGGTCACTTCTGAACACAGAACCAGGAATAGCCCCAGAGCACCACTGGATGTGGGCCAAACCCTGCCCCTGCTTCACATAAGTAAGATCCTTAACTTAAGTAGAGAGGGTCAAGATTTATTAACCATGATATTAGGTGTTCCAGGACCAAGAGTAAATCATGAGTTTGGGTTTTTAATAACACGCTGGAAAGCGGTAGTGTTTACTTCACGTGTACTGTGTCTTCTGGCTGATGAGTGCCAGACATGCTGTGCTCAGGCAATCCTGAGCCTAGTGAGTTTCTGCTCAGAACCCAGAATACTCATTCCCAGGCCGTAACCTGAGTTCACTGTGTGCCACTGATTTACAAATCAGTAGAGGAAGCAAGCTGCACAAAGGTCACTCTTTGGCTGATAAGGGTGGCAGCAGAAACGGCTGGCTTTGTGGGTGTAAGGTCTTCTAAACAGTTAAAGCTGTAAGTGAGAAAGTTGGGTTTGTGACAGCAGTGTTCAGTGCTGTAACGGCTGGCTTGCTCTCTTGTGTAAGTTGGCACTTGTTCCTAAAAGAGCTCTGAGCTACTTCTCCAGCCCTCTTTTGTTTGTTTGAGGCCACACCTGGCAGTACTTGGCAACTACTCCTGGCTCAGTGGTTTCTCCCAGAGGTGACTGAAGACCACGCTGCTGCAGGGTCACAAACTCAAGGTCCCCCCCTTCAAAGTTTACACTTGAACTCCAGACTTTTGAATGATCTCCCCAGTCCAAGATGCACCTATCTTTAGTATACACTTGAATGAGTTTTGACCATTGCAAGTATTTATTACTTTTCTTCAAACACATGGAGTATTTTATCACCTCACAAAGTTCTGTGGTGTAACTTTACAATTGCAATTTTTATAATTCCCCCCAATACATATGTTAAAATCCTATTACCCAAAGTGATGGAATGGTTTGGGTTTGGGGCAGTTAAACAGCCCTGAGCATAAAGCCTTATGAATAGGATCAGTGTTCTTATAGAAGGGAGGGGGGTGAGCTCTCATGCTCTTTCCATGAGGTAAAGTTATTTAACCTAATTAAATAATGCCTTCCAAGTAGTGCTCTGAGGGCCTGAGGCCCACTTCTCGTGGTGATACTTGGGGACCACCAGGGCCATATACAGCAGTGCTCAAGAGACCATGCTGTAACTGGGACTCCCACATGCAAAGCACATACTGTCCTTTACCTCTCCTCAACCCTGGAGGTCAAGTTTAATTGAGAATGTGGCTCTGTAAGAACCAGAAGCAGGTTCTCACCAGGCAGCAGACTGGGTGGCGCCTTAATCATGGATTCCCCAAATAAATTGGTTTAAATGTATAAATATATACGTAAACCTGTTTATAAGCCACCCAGTCTATGGTATTTAGATGAAGCAGAACCAAAGGATGAAGAGGAAACTAACCCCACCTCTTCAAAAATCACAGGCAGCCAGCACTCTGATTTTTATCACTATAGTTTCACATTCTTGAATCTCTAACTTTCATGCTTCTTACCAGGGAAGTTTTCAGCCCTGGAGTTTTTAGTTACACTTTATAAGAGGAATATAGTCTTTTTTTTTGCACGGAGTGTCTATTCAAATCTTTTGCCCATATATGTTGAGAGACCACATTTCTTTGCTGCCTGCTTCTCTAGGTGTCATGAAGACACCTGAAAACTCCAGTCCTCAAGAGGGAGACCTTTCTGTTTGTCTTCCAAACAGAACTATAAAGAGGTTAAAACTATAGAGATGGTAAGAGAATGGTTTCTAGACTCACTGGAAACCTCTTCCTCCCCCCCCCCCCTTCGCTCTTCCCCTTCCCCTCCCCATCCCTCCTCTTTCCATCCCTTCCCTTCCTTTCCTTCCCTTCCTTTCCTTCTTTCCATCCTCCCTCCCTCCCTCTCTCCCTCCCTCCCTCCCTCCCTCCCTCCCTCCTTCCTTCCTTCCTTCCTTCCTTCCTTCCTTCCTTCCTTTTTTCTTTCAGGGGTTATTTCTGGCTTTGTGCTCAATGATCACTTCTGGCCGAGCTCAGGGAACCATGTGAAGTGTCAGGTTTGTACCTGGACTGGGCGCATATAAGGCAAGGGTTCTACCTACTATAATATCTCTCCAATCCCCATCTCTGTTCTTAACACTTCAAATTATTTGTATGGACAGACAGAATGAGAAAGGTCACTATGAATATAGACCCTGGAATTGGGCAAAGCAATCAGATATTTCTGAGTTAATTTCCTGTGCATAATTTTATAGTATTTTGTGGTTCCAGAAACAATGCTAGATTCTAGTCAGCCTGCTAATTTTTGACATGGAACTCTGGTACATCTTAAAATCAGAACAAAAATATTCCTGCAAATGTTATTGTTAGTTTATTGTACAGAATTATACTAAGCAGAATATTCTTCATTCTTTTTTTCTTTTCTTTTATTGGAGGGCTGGGGATAATAGCCAGGTTTCATGCATGTCAGAGCAAGTTTTGCACTTTGCCTCTGAACCATGTTTCTGGCCCAAGTATGTTATTCTTAACTTCCTTTGTAACATAAAGGTAATGCTCTTGGATGGCAGAAGTAGAATAATTTCATTTTAACCTTATCAACAAGTTGTGGAGATCAAGTTAGACTATCATACATCTGATGAGAAAAGAACCAGAAATAAACATGTATTATACATCTGTCAAATGTATAAAACAGACTGAGAATTTGTGGTGAATAAAATTATGTCCCCATAACAAATTACATTTTATTATTCAAATGATATCATAATACCAATACCAATGGTATTATATATATATATATAATATATAATAGATTGAATTCCTAAGAGGCAAAATCAGCTGTTATTCACTTAAAGTTTCCCACATTTCAAAGCAAGCCTTTATAACAGAAAGTCTTTCATTGTGTGGAATTTCAATCTTTACTTATGTAAGTTTAGGCAAGGTCAAAGAACTCCTTTTATCAGCAGAGCAGGAAAAGTAGAGTGGGGATAGGCGATTGTACACATAGCTGGTCCTGGGGAACCTTTCTCACCTACAGTTTGGGTTTTTCATTCTTTATGACTTAGCAATCAAAACAAAAGCAAAATTGAAATATACAGAGAGGCAAAAAAACTCACTTCCATTTAGCAGTGATATTATCCTTTTTCATGCTGTACCAGTGTAAAGGAAAGAAATTTAGTTATGTCCATTAAGATTTTAACATATTGAGACTGATTGTGACCTCTTGTCATATTGAACTTCATTAGTTGTTGTTTTGTGGCCACACTTGGCGGTATTCAGGGGTTGCTTCTGATAACACTTGGGTAACCAAGTGATTTCAGGAATGGAACCTGGAGTTCTTACACACAGAGCATGCACAGCAACTCCATAAACCATCTCCCAGGTCCCTCATGATGAACTATAAAGGACTTTGTTTTGTTTCTTGGCTATTAGAAGCAACAAAGTTCAAACTCAATGAATCTGTTCAAGATTTGTAATATAGTGTGACCAGTTAAAAGCAAAGACATACAAAAATGGATTTATTTTCTTTCAATGAATATTTTAACATAAACAGACTTGCCTTGTATATACATGTCAGCGTTAAAAACAAAATTTGAATTGTTATTTTCAGGAAGTAGGTGTTTATTAATTAGCACTTTGTATTGATGTATACTGGCGTGTGTGTGTGTGTGTGAGAGAGAGAGAGAGAGAGAGAGAGGTAGAGAGGGAGAGAGAGGGAGAGAGAGAGAGAAGTGATTATTTTTCATCTTAAGTCAGACTAACTGCCTGAAGGCTTTCTAATACATAAAAAACTGGTTGAGATGTTTAGTTTTTTCTCCCAGGAATTGTAAGAAAAGTGTACCTTGTACATTTTCAAGAAACTGAAGTAGATTATTGGTGAATAACCTAATGTGTCAACAGTGTCAACAGGTATTTTAGTTGACAGAAGTGTAAACATGATGCTAAATGTATGAACATGTTGGTTATTCTTCCTCATCAGGGAGGCTGGAGGGAAGTTTACATGGATCAGAGGGCAGTGCGAGTCCGGAGGAGTCCCCTGTATTACCTAAGTGCAGAGCTTGCGATACAGTACCGGGCAGCTGGGTCTGGCTTGAATACGTATCTACAGAGCCTTCTCACATGCAAGTGACCTGAGTTACTCCATCTTCCTGATCAAGCTGCCCATCGTCTAGCTCGCGATGGACACTGTCGCTGCTGCTGAAGCCGGAGAAGCTGCTGGGGGGCGCTGGCTTCCTCTCCTGTGTCCAGATTTCTCTGGAGGGGCCGGCGAGGCTCTCAGACAGCGGCTTTCGCTCTGGAGGTTGGGATGCGGCTGTGTCCAGCCCTGAGCTCCTACTGGCGCCTTTGTTCTTGTCTTCCCCTTTAACGTGCCGGCTGGATTTTCTCTGGAACACATACACGAGTGGAGTAGGAGTTAGCAATGTGGCTGCTCTCCTGTCTTTCTGAACTGAACGCATCTCTTGTGGGCCTGACATGTCTATTCCCTCCTAAACTTCCTGCTCATCTTTAAGGACTGGCTCTGAGGCACCCTGCTTTAATATTTCCTCCCTTCCCACCCCAAATCAAATGATGCCCCCTCTCGGCTTCAACATCCTGGAGATTCCCAGCACATCATTTTCCTCAAAGTGTTGTTTGTGCACTTATCCTGCTGTCAATGACATCCTTGAGGGGAGAACTCAGTGAGGTCATACTGTGAAGAACAAAGGTGCGGAGACATACATACATTAAAGGCTTTGTTTAACTTCTTGGTCTTACTGGACATCTAAACCACACAAAAAGTGCTTCAGTGGTCACCTTCTATGCATTTCCCATAGCAACTGGCTGCACAGAACTGTCTTTTAGTGGGGAGGGGACCACACCTGGCAGTGCTCAGGTCTTTTTTTCTTTTTGGATCACACCCAGCGATGCTGAGGGGTTACTTCTGGCTTTGCACTCAGGAATTACTCCTGGCGGTGCTCAGGAATCGAACCTGGTTGGCTACATGCAAAGCAAACACTCTACATGCCGTATTACTATTGCTATTGCTCCAGCCCCAGTGCTCAGGTCTTACTCCTGGCTCTACACTCAGGAATAACTCCTGGCGGGGCTTGATGGACCATATGGGGTGCGGGGGTTTGGACCCGGGTCAGCTGCATGAAAGGCAAACGCTCTACCTGCTGTACTACTGTTCTACCCCTCCCAACCCTCACCCAGGACATGGACAATACTTCCTGTCATGGACAGTAAGTCTGAATTTAGACTGAAAGAATTCTGGCAGGGTCTTCCTGGGCAGCGAAGGGGCCTCTGTGTGAACTGCCACAGACGGCCTTGGCCTGACATGTGGGGATACTCATTTTGCAGCCTGTTTGATAAGCTGTGGGTGCTGTGGGCATCAAATATTTACTCTTGGGAAAGACAAGCCACAGAGAGGGGCTGGAGCAATAGTATAGCACTTTCCTTGCATGCAGCCAATCGTGGTTTGATCCCCAGCATCCATTTGGTTCCTCAAGCCCCTCCAGGATTGTTTCCTGAGTGCAGAGCCAGGAGTTGCCCCTGAGCATTGCTGAGTTTGGCCCAAAAACTACGGGGGGAAAATGTCACATAGTGATGCCCAGGTTATTCTCCCTCCCCCGTTTTTTCCCCTTTAATTCATTAGGGTTTTTTGATGAGAAGGAAGAAGAGAAACAGTGGAGAGTAACATGCTCAAGAGAGAACCCGGGATTCTCCAACAGTGGAGAGAGCCCCTACACACATCCCAGAATTAGACATGAAAGTACACATCTCAAGAGGGGAGATGTGGGTGACACATGTGCTCAGGTACCACATGTGCTCAGCCCCATGGGCACAAGCAGCACATGGGCTCGGGCAGCATATGTGCGTCACCCAGGTTATTCTTACAGAAGTTTATTAATCAGAATAGGAGAGATATTACAGGGAATAAGTTATTTGTCTTGCATGTGTCTGATCCTGGCACTGCATAGGGTGTGTGTGGAGGGGGGCAGTTGCTAGCCCTAACTTGTTGTATGGTGGTCACATTTTCACAGACACCCTTGCATTGATCAAATACAAGCATCAGAATACAAGTCTTTTCTTTTATATTCTTCCTCGGCAAGTGCTGTGCATTTAGCAGCAGCCCTGGAGAGATTTCCTCACAGGCTCAGGGTTTGACAAAAGCATGCTCTCTTTGGCTTTGGGATGTTGGTCAGGAGATTGTGGCCTTTTGGCTGCAGGCTGAAGGTCCTGCCAGAGGAGTTCCTTTTTCCAGCCTGGTTCCCAGCGCCCTTTCCCACATGCATAAATTATACACTCACATTTGAATGAGGCTTTTAACATTGACTGAATGAAAATAGGAAGGCAGGGGTGCTGTGAGCACTGGCTGCTTGGATTTGAGCCTCACCAATGCTAGGCCCACCGGTGAATGCTGCGATAAAGTCCTTATCATATACCAACCAACGGATGCCAATTCATACTTTACTCAGGGAGGATTATCTTAATAAGAATTGAGTATTCAACATAATTAGATATGCACAGTAAATCACTTCTTTTTTTTCCCTCCTGGTTTTGGGTAATAAACCTAGGGTCTCACAGAATGCAAAGCATATTCTCTATCACTGAACCACACCTTGAGCCCAAGTAATTCATTTTCAGATGAGCGAATAAGCAGCCACGAAATCGAAGATTCAAATGTTAAGGACAGATTACCTAACACAGTAATTCTAAACTAGTGCTGAGGATCACTGAGGCCACATCTAGTGGAGCTTGTAAGGGAGCATGCAGTGCTGCATGCCAAACCCAGGGCACTGTATATGCCAGGCTTGTGCTCTACTATTTGAACTACCTCCTCAGACCCTTAACTACTTTTTAAACTGAGTTGTTTGTTTTCTTATTGTTAACTTTTGAGAGCTCTTACTATGTTCTGCTTGTACTGCTTGTAAGTCCTTTGTCATGACTTATAAGTTTTCTTTTCCCAGTCCCTAATTTGTCTTTTCTTCACTATTTACAGATGTAGACATTTAAATTTTTGTTGAAGTAGAATTTATCCTTTTTTTTGGTGGGTGAGTGGATTATGCTTTTGGTATTATGTTGGAGCCATATGCCTACTCCCATTTTATAAAATTTTCTCCTTTATTTCTAAACGTTTTCTATTTTACTATATTTAAACATTCTTTTAGTAGCTTTAACAAAATTGAGCCTTTTTAAAAAAACTCGAATATCTTTGCCAGGGAGTAAGTTCAAAGGGCTGGAGTGCAGGCTTTGTATGTTGGAGCTCCTGATCACAGCTCCAGTGCTCGCTTCGGCAGCACATATACTGATCACAACTCCAGTACCTTATGCTTCCCCAAGCCCCTCCATGAGTGGCCCTCAAGCACTGAGCTCAGAGTAGCCCCTAACTGCTACTTGGTAAGACCTTCAAAAGAAACTAAATATTCTGAATGTGTATTTTCCATGTTTCAAAATATTCTCAGGCTGAGGATGAGACTCAGTGGTAGAGCACCAACTTTGCATGTGATGCTCTGGGTTTGATCACTGGTACCACACACACACACACACACACACACACAAAAGCAAAAAGGACAATTCTTAATCTTAAATAGTGCATACAACATCCCTGTGCAATAGAAAACAAATCTCAAAATAAAGGTCTTGGTAACTTCAGAAGAATAAACTTCCAACTGTTTTCTTCATCATGCAATTCTCAATTCACTTCCTGACAAAAGGACATGAAATTTGTTTTAAGAAAAAAGTTAAGTTTGTTTAACTTTTTTTTTTTTAACAAAAATTACGTCTATGCTGAGTGCAACTGAATACAGGGAAGCTTATATATTTCTACACTAGTCTCAGGAGATGAGAGAGAAACTTAATTTCAAGGTTGAACTCTTGGCCGGTTTCTACTCATCCACAAAATTTATATCGTATTTATTATTGCTCTAATTTTCTTTTGTGGCCACATTCAGCTGTGCTTGGGAGCTACAGTGCTGGAAGTAGAACCCAGAGCACCTGCATACAAGGCATGAGCTTTAGCTCACTGAGCTCTCTCCAGCTCTGATATTTATCACTTAAATGAAACTCACTGATAACCTTAGCTCAATATTTGAAAAGTCTCAACTTTTCCCCAACTATTATTAGAATTAAACACTTTGAAAAAAATGCCTTGACAAGCAGCCACCAGTGGAGCTCTGGTGGTCCCACAGCTGCAATGGGGAGGCCGAAACAGAAAACTCAGACAGCTGAGGAGGGAGCTGGTGAATGTTAGAGTTAGAAGGTTTTAGGTAATTTTAGTTTTATTTAACTTTTTTTTGCTATTTGTGTCACACCTGGCGATGCACAGGGGTTACTCCTGGCTCTGCACTCAGGAATTACTCCTGGCGGTGTTCAAGGGACCATATGGGATGCTGGGATTCGAACCCAGGTCGGCCGTGTGCAAGGCAAACGTCCTACCCACTGTGCTATCGCTCCAGCCCCTTATTTCACTTTTTAATTTTACTTTTCCTTATTTTGCCAATATTATATAATGGGTATTTATTATTTTTATAATTTAATGGTGGGTGTCAAATAGAAAAGGCATTCTATATTGTGGTATAAATATAGACAGAGTGTCTTAAGATATAGTTTCCAAAATTGAATGTGGTTTTAGTACTCCTATTTAATTGTGAATAAAAAATATGCTCTATTTGAAAACTATAAATGAAGCAATCCCCTGCCATTACCCCTTGGCGAACAATAACAATAACCTCAAGTCTAAACCACCTACATGTTCTGCCTTGGTTTTTCTTTTAGTGAAGCAAGTAGCTTTTATTTTTAATTATTAAAACTTTTTTTCTTTTGCCATACCCAGTGGTGCTCAGCTTCCTCCTGACTCTGAGCTCAGGGTTCACTCCTGGTGGGCTCTAGGGAAGATATGAGATGTCAGGGATTGAACCTGGGTTGGCTGCATGCAAGGCAAACATCGGCCTGCTGTTCTATCACGCTGGCCCCAAAATAGTTTTACCGAATGAAACTTTTAAAGATATGAGGAGAGAGAAGGAGAGGAATTTATGTTCAGGAGAGAATATGAACTTGAAATGCAAGCCAGTCAGCCGAGATATGCAGACAAGCAAGCAAGATATGTGTTCAGGTGAGAACACAGGTTTGAGAGAGCAAACCAACAATACGTGATTTTGAAGTATGATTTCAAACTGTGTCATAAGAATCCATAGCTATAATTTTTTTCTTGGCATATTTTAATTCCAGTTTACGGAAAATACACAAGTGGGACAAAGAGATAGGCAGGGATTATAGGATTTGTCCTGCATGCAGTCAAACTGCTTCATTCTCTGGCATCACATACAGTCCCTGAGCAAAGCCAAAAATGATCCCTGAGCATAGCCTGGTCTGGCCCAATTTCCCGAACCCCCAGCTAACAAGAAAATACATGTGAGATAATTAAATGAACTCTATGGTGACATTAATGGTCTACATTCCCAACACTACCTTTGAGATACAGTAACAGGTTGTTTCCACTACAAGAAAGTACAAGAATTTACAAATTGGTTTTTGATTTTAGCTGGTAGATACTTAACTGAGGTCTAAACCACCTATGTAGTTTGCCCTGAAACAATCTTTTGATCCTGAGTTTTCTTGCAGGAAAATCAGACTTCTGTTGAAGTAAATCCATTTAGAAGCAGAATTCTAAATTCTAAAACAAGAGTTTCTTGTTTACTAGAGCTCCTTATTGATGCAAACTATTCAAATATTTCCTTCTAGAATATATATGTATAGTGAACCAGTAATTTCATATTACAACAATGTAAAAATAAAGATTACTCATAGATCCACAAAATATTAAACAAAAAATGGGGATAGTCTTGAAAACATTTTTTAATATTAAACTAAAAAGGGGGGGAGATAGCCTTGAAACCATTCCCCCTCCCCCCCACCCAAGATAAAGAATATCTCATCTTAAGTAAAGAGCCTGGGAAAAGGTTGAATTTGGGACTTTTATCTTCCTATACATGAACCCCAGGGCCCTTACTCAAAATCCTCTGAAGCTGGGAATTCTGGTGATCTTTGCCACTTGTAGAGTATTAAAAAAGAAAAAAGGAAGAAAAGGATGTCATGTGGTGAGAAGTTTCTTTGAGGAATGAGGAAAAAGAATGAAAAAACTTTCTGTCCATTGTCTCTCTCTAATAAAGTGCACCCCAGCATCTTCACAGAATATTTAATCAATAAGTGATCTTGAGCCATTCTCTTGGGGGCTGTGGGGCACACTGTGGCCTTGAGCTCCAAGGATGTCTTAGTACTGCTGAATTGATACCTGAGCACAGGGCCAGGAATGATGCTTGAGCACATGGCCAGAAGTGTGAGCACTTGGTCAGAAATGAATAGCCCCTGAGCACTGCCAACTATAGCCCTAAAGTCCGTCTCCAAAAGGTGAAAATAAAAAGGGAAATTGAGGGGCCAGAGCAATAATACAGCGGTTAGAGTATTTGCCTTATATGCGGCCCACTTGGGTTAGTTCCCTGGCATCCCGTATGTCCCCCAAGCACTGCCAGCAGTAATTCCTGAGTGCAAAGCCAGGAGTAATCCCTGAGTTCGCCTGGTATGACCCAAAAAACCAACCAACCAAAAAAAGGGGTGGGGCTGGGTGGGTGGGTGTGGGAATCAAATGTTTGCTTTTGCCAGAAAGGGAGAGGGTAGAGAGTTACTACTGCGTCTACTGTTTAATTGCCTTCAGATAAATATAATCCATATGGCAGATTTGTAGGGTATATCCTGGTCCCCTTCAGAGCTGTCTCATCCCGCCTGGTCCTGGGCACTTTCCCTATTACAGGTGGATATAGGGTAGCTCCTGAGTCAAGCTACACTTTCTCATCTGCTTTCACCACTTAGAATTACAGTGACAATTGATGCTTAAAGACATCTTTGTGACAGTCAGTTCATAAAGCATCAGTTTTACTTACTTCTGGCGTTTGAGAGGCTGAGTTCCACATAATAGGTCTCTGAAGGAATACAACCTGCTTTGTTGCTAAATTCCCTTCACTGTAAATGAAAATAATAACATTAGTATTTGTGAATTAGTAGTTCTATGTTTTCCATACTTTGGTAGACTGTTCTGGATATATTCTCTGTAAAATCATCTTATGAGCTAAAAATAATTATGAATTTTAATTTTATATATAGGTTGCAGCAGGAAAAAGAATGTAAAACTTCCTAAAAACTGAATATGGTCATTGCAAAAGGAAAGTGTAAAGAGTCATAATGTTATTTGCTAGTTTCATCTTTTTGTATGTCCCTTGCCAGTCTTATCAAATGTACTTCTGCATGTCTTTAACAACTACAATATATCTGTGTTCCTCTGAACAAGAACTAAGTGTTGAAGGCAGGTAAAGGGATATACATGATAACCTTTTAAAATCTATATCAGAAATCACAATGCCTAAAATAAGAGAGAAAGAGAGAAGAGAGGTGCCTGTCATAGAGGCAGGTCAGGGTGGGGGGTTACTTGAAGGGTGAGAGGGAAACTGGGGACACCGGTGCTGGAAAATTATACTGGTGGAGGGATGGGTGGTGGAACATTGTATGACTGAAACACAATCATGAACAATTTTGTAATGCTCTATCTTACTGTGATTCAATATTCAATATATATATATATTTATATATATCTGTGTTCCATCTATTTCACTGACCACCCTTTCCTTGTTTGTGCATTGTACCGTATTCTTTTTGTTGCTGCTATGTATTATTTTTGCCACTTTGGGGTCATGCCCAACGCTACTTGGTGATTACTTCTGGCTCAGTGCTTAGAGGTTGTTCCTAGTGATGCCAGAGATCAAATCCCAGGATTCCACATGCAAAGCATGCACTCCAGGTTTTTGAGCTATCTCTCCAGTCTATGTGACTATAGTCTTTTTTTTTTTTTTGGTGGGGGGGACTACCAGGTGGTACAGATGAGCTTCAGGGCTGCACCCAAAAATGATAAAGGGACTATGTGGTGCCAGGAACTGCAACCCACACTCTCCTATCTCCTGGCCCCTGTGACCATATTCTTGATAGCTACATAGTATCTCAAATAATTAAGACATCAAAATGCACTAAGCCTTTCCTTTGTTTACTTATTTTTTGCTTTTTGGGTCACACCTGGCGATGTACAGGGGTTACTCCTGGCTCTGCACTCAGGAATTACTCCTGGCAGTGCTCAAGGAACCTTATGGGATGCTGGGAATCAAACCCGGGTGGGCCATGTACAAGGCAAATGCCCTACCCACTGTGCTATTGCTCCACATCCGCTTTTCCTTTATTATTGGAAAATAAAAAGGTTTTTTTCAGTGTCCTGCTAATTACACATCAATCTACTACAGAAATATGAATATTGTTCTTTATTAAAATGACTTATTTCCTTGATATATTTCCAAAAGTGGAATAGATCAAAATATTTTATAAAATTTTTAAAAAAATTTATTTGTTTTACCTAAAGAGATAGTATGGGCTGGAGCGATAGCACAGCCAACGTGGCCGACACGAGTTCGATTCCTCCACCCCTCTCGGAGAGCCCAGCAAGCTACCGAGAGTATCTCGCCCGCACGGCAGAGCCTGGCAAGCTCCCCGTGACGTATTCGATATGCCAAACACAGTAACAACAAAGTCTCCAATGGAGATGTTACTGGGCCTGCTCGAGCAAATCGATGAACAACGGGAGGACAGTGACAGTGACAGAAAGAGATGGTATAAGGGTTAAGACCCTTACATTGCATGTGGGCAACATGGATTTGATCCCTGGCATCACATACGGTCTCCTGAGCACTATGAGGAATGATCCTGAACAGAGAGCCAAGAGTAGCTCCTGAGCACTGTTGGGTGTGTCCCCCAATTAAAAAAAAAGAAATCATATCCTTTTTTCAAAAGGATATGATTTAAATTTCTTATTACACATTGCCAAATTTGCCTTATAAAAAGAAGAGATTCATCTGGGCTACCAGATGTAAGGAAATTTGTATGCATCTTCAATTTATATGCTAACTTCATTTTCAGATGTTTCTTTGCAGTCAGCTACTCAGTATTCTACTTATTTAACTATCATCATGGCAAATTACCCCTTGCCAAAGACTACTTGAAGTCTGGAAGTGCCTGAAATGTTTTTCACACAGTCTCCATGGATTTATGGGGAGGAGGTCTGTAGCTAATGTTGCTCAGTTACTTTTATTATGCAAAAAACCCCACACAAAACCTCACTATTAGCTGAATTTTATGCCAAGCTCTTTCTTTCTGGAAAACAAATGCAACATTGAAACGCTGGCCTGAGAGGTTTTTGTCAACCCCACACATCATTTGAAAACCTCAAATTGAGAAAAATTCTTCCAACAGAATGGTAAATGAGATTCATTTTAATTTTTTTATTTTTATTTTTGAAACACTGTTTGGGCTGGGGAGATGAGGCAGGCAGATGGGCTGGGTACAGGCTTTGCACATGGGAGCCCTCTGTTCTATCCCCGGCACCACATGGTTCTCCCAACAGCCTAGGTGAGGCCCCTCACAAAACAAAACAAAACACAAAGATTTTAGTCTAATCATATTTGACTGACTGATTATTAGTTGGGGAGGGCGGGCAGGGTCAAACCTTTGGCTGTTCTGGGGAACCACGAGAAGTAGTGAGGGGTTGGAACTCAAGGTTTCAAACAAGTCACACATGTGTTCTGTCACTTGAACCACAGCCACATACCCTGACCCCGATTCTCATTATTTTGGTTTGGTTTGGTTTTTTTTGGTCATACCAGCAATGCAGAGGGGTTACTCCTGGCTCTGTGTTCAGGAATTACTTGGGGGACCATGTGGGATGCCAGGGATTGAACTCTGGTCAGCTATTTCAGAAGAACAATGTTCCAACATTAATTCTTTCACCAGTGTCCACTTCCTTCCTCCAAAGTTCCTGGAATATTCCTCCATCCCCCAGCCCGCCTCTATGGAAGACACTATTTTTTTCTTTATTCTTTTTAAAAATTCTCCTTTTAGGCAATGCTGTTTACCATACTGTTACTGATAGGGTACCATGCATGGTACTCGACCTTTCAGTATGTAGTCCCAGCCCAGAGTGACCACTTCCATCTATCCCTGTAATCTCATTTTAATATGACCTCATCTTCAGCTAGAAGAAGCAAGGTGGAATGAAATATAACTTTAAGGAACCACTTGAGCCATCTGGAGAGAGCAGTGCAATGTAGTGGGCATAAGGAAAGGAACTAGAAGAAAACAGAATAGGTGTATATTTGGAAAGCAATTTTTGTGTATTTGGGGGTCACATCCAGCTGTGTTCAGGGACTATTCCATCTCAGGGGTGCTCATGGTAGTGCTCAGGGGATCATGAGGTCTGGGATAAAAACCAGGCCCTCCATCTTTTTGATCCATCTCTCCACCCCATGGGAAGCTCCTGTTTTGTTCTTCCAGCAATACTCAGCCTGGTTCCAGCAACACTCAGACTGTTCAGTGCTCTAGGCTACAAAATGTGCTGCTTTTTGGGCCCAGAGTTACTGGGGGTCAGCCACACCTAGCAGTACTCCAGGGGACACGTGATGCCAGATTATTGAACTTGGAGTCTCACACATGCATGGTATACGCTTCAACCAGTGAGTTACCTTCTTGGCCCTCTTTCTAATCCTTTTGTTTTATTTATTTTTGTTTTGGGTTATACCTGGCTGTATATACTCAAGGATAACTCCTGGTTCTGTGCTCAGAGGATCATATGGAGTGCTGGGGATTGAACCCAGGTCAGCTGTGTGCTCTACCCACTGTCCTATCTCTCCAGCCCCAAATCCTTTTATTTTCTATTTTGGCAGGGCCAGGGATCAAATCCAGAAGCCCACATACACAAGGCAAGTATTCTACTACTGAGCCATGTCCCCAGTCTGCCTTTTACCTGATTTCGCCCCTTTTCATTATACAGTGTTGAATGGATTTGACAATAGACCATGTAACCTGTTTCATTTTTTAAAAAATATTGATATAAATAAGTCAATGGTTTTGCAACCAGTTTCTTGGCTCAAACCCCAATTCTTCTGTATCACTGAAGAACTAATGACTTAAACAAGACCTACTAGGGACTCTGTGAAGAATAAGTAAGTTGATGTTTTTGAATAGTCTCCACTGAGGGAGCTCAACAGATGGTGTTGTCTTCTACTTCCTCCATTCACAGAAGGATATGTGAGAGGCAGAAGGGCATAGGAGGTGGAGTTACATGTGAGGGGGAAGACACAGGTTCAATACAGTCTTTGCAGGCTGTGAATCATGGACAAGGTTACAGAACAGAGAAGAGGTTTGTGAGTGTTGTTTTAGGTAAAGTCAAGTGAGGGAAGCAGGCTAAGAACCTCTCAAAAGTGAGAAGGCTCAGAGTAAAAGTTTTCTTGACTGGAAAGCAGGAGCATGTCAGGATAGGGAACGCAAGTGACTTGGAATTGTTCTAGCCATAGAATAGGATGTGTCAGTGCATAAGGATATGATGTTTGGCCTAGAACAAGTTTCCCAGCCTTTACTCAGAGAACAAGACAGTGAATGTGAACATGGTTTCCCAAAGGCTGGTCCTCTTCATACAGTCTCCAGATGTCAGTTAAGTTTTCAGTGTTCAGGGGACCTTATGTGATGCTGGGGATTGAACTGAGGTCAGCTACATACAAAACCAGTGCCCCACCTGCTATGTCTCTCCAACCCCCAGCAGGTAAGACTTTGGAAGGTCAGCTTAGAGTCAGCTGAGTGAGAACTCTGAAGTCTCTGCTGCTGGTTTTCGAAAGACTATTCTGACTTGAAACAGATTCTGCTATTTTTTTTTTGAGAGACCAAGAAGAACTTTTGGTTGGAAGAATCTAATCACGATAGAGCCAGGGAAAAGGTCAACGCTTTCCGGAAGGAGGGAGAGCTATTTGGCACGTCAGGCAAGTCCCTCAGAATGACCAGTGACACCGGCTGTCATCCTGTTTACTGAGCTGGGATAGAACATTTGCCCTAGAGAGTAGGTTTCTGGGAATCTGATTGTGAGGCTATGGCAGAATCAG